AACATTACTCGAGATTCGAAAAAACGTTGTTTTCATGTTGTATTTTAACGTTTTAAAAATGTTCTATGCACATTTGATGATGTTAATATTAATGAAGTAAGTAGTATTTAACTCTGAACTATTGGAAATACGACGAAGAGGGCGCCAGCAAGATCTGTCTCGGATAATGTGGTGATTTGCTGTAATTTAATTGCACCTTCATCGAAACTATAGTCCAAAATATTGCCTTGTTTAAGTACATTTATATGCAAAATGTGCAAATACGGAAAATAGTTATATCAAAACAGTGCCACCAATTACAACAGATCAACAATACTATGAAGGTACAATAAATAGACTCACCATACGGACAATAACCTTTTTCAACTTTTGGTTCTTGAAAAACAGGAATTAGTATATTATTTGTATATTATAATGTATATGCGTGTATGAAACAGGTAAAACGTAGAAAAAGAAACTAAAAATGAAAATTAAATTGGGCACATTAAAATTGTTAGTTTACATCATAAAATATGTTCAATCGCTTAGTGAATAATCTATGAGTGTGTGTTTGTGTGTGCAGCTTATTATTGTGTTACTACCCCAGGAATATATTTTGTAGCTTACTAGTACATGCACTTGTTTTGCGGATACTCCTTCATGTACATGCAAAACGTTTAAGCATACTGTAGTAACACAGCTATAGGATGAAATCAGCATTACGCACCTATTTGACAAATGACGTTTTCTGTAAGAGAGCAGCTGGAGTGCTCCCATAGATAATTTCTGCTACGGCTAAGGACTAGAACAAAAAAACAAAAAACAATTTTATCAGTTGTTAGGAGTTTGATATCACCATACTTGTACTACAATATTTGTTTGGGATTTTCATCGGCTTTGTATAGTTATTTACCCGTGCATTCCTCGCCGTTCTGTGCCCCGTCAGAATATTTGAAGTAATTCCCAACCTTTTCGCTATCCATGAATTCATACTGTTCCCTCTCTGTCGAGTATTTTAGGCCAAAATACCAATTTTCTGTGGATCCCGTCTTCGCAACTTGTCTTCTCAGAAAACGCTATTAATAACAACAGAATAAGCCATGAAATGTTCGCAGGTTGACCATAATACTGCCACCACGATGACATTATTTAATTAGGTACTAAGTAATACTTTTGAGAACGAAAACAACATCTACAACGCATGATATGGCAGTGTATACCTGTGTGTCCTTGTTGTCAATGGATGCCGGTATTCCGTTCCGCAAAGCACATTCCACGGTAGCATTTTCAAAATTTGATGTTCCTTCAACCAATTCATAGCAATTTCCATAACGTCTTATTCCTTCATTACCGTCGCCGCAAGGTGGCGCAATATCTGATGTACAATAAACACGGTTACAGCAATAAGCAAGATATGTGTGTACTAGTATCTAATAACCAGTATTGACGTAAGTGGCGCTATTCACGACGCGTATTAATACGATAACACTACCTATCGATCACACTGACTGACTGTAGTGTACGGTAGGAGCGTCAATCATTTGTTTTTTTCCGATTAGACGAACTAAAAAAATACAATAATTATAATGTATGTATTTAAAAATGTAATTAAAATCAGAAGCCTTTGCTTTGATGAGTTTTTTTTTAGAAATCACATTTTAGTACTTACCATTAAGTTGTATTTGACATATATAATTTCGTAGTGTCGTACATAGCTGGTCATTCCATTTGTAACCCCACGACGATTTCATCTCTAAAACAGGTATTAATTATAAATATTATCTTATTTTAAGCCAATTGTACGCAAATAGCAAATAATGTCATTGAGACGGAAAATAATGGTTCTCAAATGTGCATTATAAATAACACTTTTTTTTTCTAACGTCAGACTAAATAAATCGATATAAACCTTACCCACACAATCGTCACCATCAGTAGCGTTATCTGGCTGTCCTATGTTAAAATTGTCCCATCTACCCGGTGGTATGTCTTTGTCGGTGAAAATAAACTCGCCTTCCTGACGGATGTCATGAAGACCGATCCAGTAATCAGCGTGCTCACGTCCGTGTAACTGGTATTCTAAAAACGACTGTGTCGTTGGGTGAATCACAAATTAAATACTGAATAGGAAAGCAAATCGAAAGAAAACAAGAGACTGTACGCATGACTGTATGTAAGTCTAATAATTTAATGTCAGATAAAATAATTACATATTTCTTGCCACATGAATTCTTACAATTATATGTATTTATCGTTTCTTTGCCATCGGGGTTAACTTGTCTTTTAAAATATTTACCTGTACGTGCCGACTAGAAACGGTTGCCAAATTACCGCCTCTAATCACACAGAACTGCTGGGCTTCATGCCACTTCTTCGGTGTTTCGACAAATAGGAAACATTGATTTTCAAATAGTACGCCTTCTTCCGTTCCATTAATGATACACGTCTGTGTTGTGGGCAAGGCTGTTTAGCAAAAAGTAAGCATCAGTACTAGTCACAGTCTATTTAGATTTTAATATTTCCCAGCAAATTGTTTTCGTTGTATTTTGTGTGTTTTTTTTTCTTTCAATAATTTTAAAATGCCGAACAACGTCACAGTAATCATCTGTATTATGTCGTTTTAGTTATTGTTTGTTCCCCGCCGCTTTTTTTTGAAAATAGAAATGTTCGTCTTTGTCATAACGTTTTACTGTGATTATGGGACACAGTAAGGCGCCCCTGTCACGTCATGGTAGGCATGTTTCTGACTGTGCTGTAGAACTTGGGGTGTTTTATTAATTACTCCAGCAATAATTACCCCTCAAAATGATAGTGTTTGTGGTTGAGTTGATCGTACAGAGCGGGAGTCCGACTGACTTGTGAAAATAACGGTGAAGCCGAATAGTAGGCTTAGCATGCTTAGAAGTACTGTTAACATAAAATTCCATATTTCTGATATTATTGAAAAAAATATTATTAACAGGTTTTGTTGAAAACACCTTTAATTTGGAAAAATAAACATTTTCAACAGAACTATCTAACGTCTCTACATTCCCACTTTATCGTCATTCAGAATGTAAAAAACAACAACGACGTGCTTCACGACTCAAGATCATTTGTAAATACGACACAATATCGGAGATAATTGTCGTTTAATACTTGATTCCCATAGTGCCAATATGTCAACTGCAGTCATGGTATTCATCCAGGCACATTAAAGAACGTCTGATTATATCAGGGATATGGACGATGAAATCCCGTTCTTTGAGACATACCACTTCATGAAGGAAAATAACGAGTAGCTATCCATTCATTCTGAGATATGTGTCTGAAAAAAAGATGACGTAACTTACGTTTACCGGTCGTGTAGATTGCATTGCGTTGGCTTCCTCCGCATGTAAGACTTTCATCACCGGTACACGACTTTGAACATTCACCTTGAGGGGCCGAGCCGTACCGGTCATAGGTATCCCCACAATAACAGAGCTTTCCGTTTTGTACAGCGGCGAAGAAATAGTCGGACATGCGGCAATGTTTTATGCACATGTCCGGAATCATAGACTCATCTTCAATGGCTTGGAATGGAAGGTCTTTGTTCCATGAATCGATATAACAGCCTACATAGCTTGAGAACACGCCTATAGAAAATATTGTAAAATCAAAAATGTTATTTAATACGATATATTTCCATTATTCATTTGTGTTACCTATTATTTTATATGTTTATTCGTATCACAGGTTATAGTTTCGAAAACAATACATAGTAAAACGGACACTTTCCATAGAAATCTACATTGAAGTATTATTTCTAAAAAAATAAACAAATAGTATTTATCGATAATTCGTGATAATCATATGTAGGGATAAAATGAATATCTATGTAATGAATTGTTTTTCACCATAAGTAACCAAACGAAATTTTGAGAAATGGAAACCACAAATAAATGGTAAATGGAAGAAGTAAAGTAAATCTCCATGGCGGGTTGAACTGTGTCGCGTGCGAAAAGTATTTCTCGGGCAACCATATAATTTTATCTGGGTTTTCTTTGTGAAAAGCAGCATAAAATAAAACCTAGGAAATCTGACAATTTTTAAAAGATATCCAACTGCCGTGATGTGAATATTTGCTGTACTTTGCCTGGTAGATTAATAGCGTGATACCTGGTATAAAAAGGACGCAGATCACCAATTTCACTTCTTCCACACCAGCCATATTTCCTGTATTGAATTATGTACTAAGTACGTTCACGGCATTTTACATTCCAAATTATGGTCATTTATAAATTGAAAGACGTCATTAATAACAAGGGAACATTGTCTGTCTGAGATTGAAAAAAGGACATTTTTATATTCGGAGAGATGACACAATTATTTTCACATTAACCGCCTGCTGCGAATTTCTACCCCGATGTGCTGTGCAAACAAGGTTGCTAATGTCTCGCCCACTGTGTGGTGCAAATAGAATACCCCAGGTCTCACTCACTGTGTAACCTCCCATAGTTATATTGTTCAAGTGTTATTTGTAGATCAGACTTGTGTATAGACAGAATACAGTTTACCGGTTTACTGTACAATGTAAAATAATAGAAATGAACTGGAGGACAAAGTATCAGTACTTGAATACAAAAATATATCTGAATTTTGTGTGAAAAATACATCTTTTATTATTTTTGTTCCAAATCCTCACCAAAAGTGTAAACATTATTGCTAAATTACAAGATGCATTCAGTGAATCAAGTTAGATATCAATCTAATGATATTGAACATTTGCATGTTAAAATATAAAACAATGGTAAAATTGGTAAAATTAAAATCGCTGTTCTCTGATCATCTAGTATAATAGTAATACGTATTGCTGACACGTTTGTGGAGTTAGTTTAATCTCAGACAACTAATTATTATATTAGAGGTTTACCCATGTTGGCATGGTCCTACTATAATGGATATTATACACCAGTCAAGTGATTGACATCGCGAGTGGCCAATCAACGACCGTGTCACAACTTATGATTTTTTGTTCACGGTGTCACTGGTTATAATTCCTCACTGTAAAATTTAAAGCATCTGGCAACTTCAGTAGTACGTTGTTGGGAGTGGATTTTTTCAGCGATGAAGTCGTAAAGCAAGTGTATCCTGGCTTTTTAGTGGTTAGTGTCAACATACGGTGTACCTTAGAGTTGACCTTGCATAGTACTTCAAATTAAAATAAAGAAGTCAGTGTATAAGTAGCTAACACCACCGTGACGAACATCGGGGAGTTATTTCGGGTTACGCTCTCACACTTCGCTGTCACGTGGTTTTCCTTACACCACAGTCACTCTAATAGGAGTGACAAATGGAGTGACTGTGCCTACACGTAATTCCGACATCATATATTTCGGTAAAATCGCAATAGTCAGCTTTTTGTTTTATAAGTAACATATTTACATGCTTAAAATATACACCTATCTATGCACGTGTGGCCAGCGTTGGCATAAAATATATGTTTAAATAATCGGTTACTATTGAAATATGGTTGAAAAATAGCGAGAAATTCCTTTTATCTAAGACCTTTGTTTTGTAAATATCGTAAGAGACTAATTCATAATAATATTTCAGTAAATGTACCGATCTTCAGTTTTTCTCTGACTTTCATTTTTAATAAACACTTCCCGTGTCAATTTGTAAAGACCATCGCCGAAATGTGGACACTGAAAGCATAGCATACGTGCTGTGTTCCGACCTTGTACATTTATTATTTTGCAAGTTACAAAAAATGGCGTAGGGTTGCGTTCAGGTGTCCAGATGGCCCCTTAGGGATTGTGTTACCATTTTAAAAAGCCAGGCCTCTATTTCACGGTCTCTGATGATTTGTGTGTCATTTCTTATGACAGTGACCGTTCTCAACGAAAATAGCGACTACTCGACCATCAGTTTCACATCGCATTTCACGTGACATTAATTAGCCTCATGTAGGATGACAATTGTGGTATTCGGTAAGATTTTGAGTTATATATAAACAAGAAAATCACAGCTATTATCAATCAAAAATGTTAATTATATGTAAGAATAGTACCGTTAGGATTGAGATATTGGCGGGAAATGACGAACATGATTTTATGTACTTGTGAATATCAAAACACTTAAAATGTCTTCTTTATTTAGAAAGTTATGATATGTGTCTAAAAACGTTACCAGAAAATGTACATATCAATAATTATCATAGTTCTATGACCATTAGATAATTTGGTTGCCATAATGTTCTCGGTACCACGTAATGTAAGTTTATTAGGGAAAGTAATATCTTTGAATATGTGGTATTAAATCAAAATGATTTGAAGTGACGGTCATTTCCATCATCACTATTTAAAAATGTTTATCTACGCAATTTCCCTTGAAAGCATATGTATTCTCATATGGAAATATATCAGACCTTTCTCTGAATAATCTCTGATTGTTGTTTTGTCCCTCTATAGTTGAGATCAGTTTATTTATTTTTTATTTATTTATTTTTGACGCAGATGGCACTATTACGAAAATGATACCCACTGATGTATTGACGCTGCAGGTCGGCGTTCTGTACTGAGGCAGTGCTTCCTGTGACGACACAACGGTCACTGGTGTATTCAACTGAAGTATATTGACAGCTGTCTGGTGTATTATGCAGCATCAAAATAGTCCTTCGACATGTTTATAAAAGCCACTTACTCGACTGCGTGGCTGACAGTTTGATATTTTTGGAGGGACGGTCACTATGAGGCTTTGGGCACTGATCTGTACCACTATGTGTAAACAATTGACGCTATATTGTTTCTGGGTTGAATACTATGCGAATAGATTTTTGATCTCTGTTCATTGTTGTAATGGTTCCACGTCATGGGTGACGAGATGCACTATTGCAGGGCAACATTTGGTACCTATAAATAAATATTTATTGCCAAATTAATTTTGGAATTGTATTTATACAACTTTGTCTGTTTATTATACATATGGTGCACCAAGAGCCACTGTCACATTTGGTCAGGGTTAATTAGACTGACCTTGATTTCAGTCTCAATGGAGAGACTGTTTCAAAAATCTGATAGACCTTTGCAATATAAAGTGTGGATTGCATTGAACAGCATTTATCTTATCTACTAGTATATCTTATTATTCTAATGTTATGTAAATCATTCAATGTAACCAAAACATATCCATCGTATGTAATGTTATAAACTGAATTCGGCATGGACACAATTGTAGAACATGTTCAGGAGGGACACATATTATAATCATATTACATTTATTATTGATCCAGTTTCTTTAAAGCGAGAGGGTCGTCACCTGCGCACGCGCGGAAATTGAGTCCCAAGCGACGATAACACACGCTAAAACGCAAAGGCTCATGGATAGACGCTTGTTTGTAAACAATGACACGCTATGGCAATCTGACACATGCGCAGGTGACGACTCCCCCACTTTAAGGTAGAGATGCAGGTTCGTGGACACTTGGGAGTGAAATTTTTTTTTTTGCTTTTTATTATCCAAAAAGTCTTAGCTATAGACTGTTGAAATTTTGTAGAATTGTGAATAGTGGAACATACTCAAAAAACGATTTTAAAACATAGATAACAGGTGCAAACATTATCTTTTTTGAATGCTTAGCAAGATTTAGCAAGGCTGTACATAAATAATTAAAAAAACATGGTGAAAAAAAGAAATGACGGGATCTCCATATTATGCACTGTATTTAACTTTTTACAAAACGATAATACATTTAAATTTGAAACTGTAACAGCCATTTTAATTATGAGCATTAGCAAACTTCTTCAAGTTACTGATTGAATTGTTATGCAAATTAGCAATTATCTCAGCTTCTTTTTAGTGCACATTCCAGAACTTTAAAAAATAGCTCCTAGACGCTTTGACCTTTTGTTTTGAAATTTTCACAAATGATTGACAATGTTCAAAACGCCGTCGGGCATTGTTTTTGGCTGAATAGTGTTACAGCAATCGTACAGACAACTAGCCTTGGTGTTAATTTATGCATAAACTTGAAGTAGTGAAATTTGAGCTGCTGCCCTACAAAACTGACAACTGGTAGACAATTTTCAAGAAGGCACTTTCTTCATAGTAAACAGATATACCCATAAACCAAATTTGACAGGAAACAGAAGCATGGTTTAGAGGCTAATTTTTTTTAAATCACTTTTGACTAAAAAAGCACATTTGTGTGCATATTTCAAACTACAGTGTCCATAAAAATAAAATACTAACAAAACTTTAAAATTCATACAATAAGCTTTCCGAAAATATATAGTTTTGTGGACAAGGGAGGTCATCTTGGTTTCCTAATTAACTAATTAAAATACCTGTCAGGTAAACTGCATCTCTACCTTAAGTTAGTTTATAAGTTGCACAATATTGCCCTCGGCCTCAGACTACTAACAACGCCTTTGTTTCGGGATTACAAAGAATGCGTGCCTCGGCTGACCTTGGGTAGTTTATTGACATATGTTTATCCTCAGAGTCTAAGGTTAACCCGGAGATTTCCGAACGCACTCGCATTTACCTGCTTCGTGTGTTTTCGTAATATTAGAATTTGTTGAACTTTTTCTATAAATGTCAAATGGCGGTGTTGGCGTCGACAGTTTTTCTTTGAATGGAAGCTTCGTAGTTTTTGTGGACATTGTGGACACTGTGGACAACTTGACATGCTCTCGCGACTAAACGATTGAAGTAATATAATATTCAGTAGGAAGCTAATATTTTATTATCTCTATTCTTAGAAATAACTTGCATATGTTTTGTCACATTTGTAGAGATTATTTAACCAAGAAAAACAGAAAATGAACAACGACCCAACTAATACTACTCCCTGTGTACATCTCGCCTTATTTGATGAAATATAGAAAAGCCGCGTTGCTAGTCTGTTCTATAACAGTTTGAGCCTTGACTTTTGTGGATTATAAATATGTCCTCCGGGAAAATAGTCATCATACAAACTCAGCTTATTGTCATTTTTTGACGTACATTCTATTATATTAATCTTGGCTTATTTATACTGAAACAACACGAAAGTCACCTTGTGTCACTGTGCCAGTTTTAAAATAGCACAGACCACTGCATTTTTCTTAATGTTATTGTGGTTATTAGTATTTGAGAGGTCATTACAACAATAGTTATTGTTATCTGAATTGAGAGTACATGTAATCGGGCAATATGTTTACCTCGCCAACGCGCATGCGCTATATTAACTTCCTGAATGGCACTCCTTGTTCACGTTTCCCCTAAACTCACCCTCTTACGGCATGTGACGCCAGATGTGATTACTGCACGTACATCCAGATAGGGGTAAGTGTTTGTTTTTTTAATTCAATAAATTCCAAAAATTGTTCAAATCATTCGGTTTACTTGAACTCAACATCTACTACATGGTACGGTTACAAACCAAAGGGAGCATTCGGCAGGCGATTGCAGAACGTCGGACAAAACATAATAAACTCGTTTTTTTATGCATAAAAATCAAACAGGTGTCCATGGAATAATTATTTTCGAAACAGCATAATGATCTCACGTATGGGGTACTATATTAGACACAGTGCAGACCTATTTACAGATTAAGATATACATGTACATAGTTTTGACGAAACTGGTCTTGAAGTCAGACACACGTACTGCAAGGTTGCCCAATGCGACTTGTTCACTTTCACATGTCTTTGAGTCGTTGTGCTATTGCTAGTAAATACCCATCCGTGACCTTCCCTTGTCATTCAAATACATCACAATTTACTGTGTGACAATGGAAATGCGACATTCTTATTACGTTAACAGTGTGACCGTAGGGGTCAAGGCACCAACGAAACTACTGTACGCGTCCTCATAAAATCGTCTTAAAATGTACTCTGAACTGACCTCAAAATTTTACATTCAAATGCACTGCATGGACCCTTTGTGTGATTTGAATGTTCTTTGTTACTATTGTCGTGAAGTTCAAATACCTGCTAAACATTAACATAAAGCCACAAGTGTTAATCGTGATCAACGTAGCGATGTAGTCATAAACGTAGAAAAGTGCTAAGCATCTCAGTTTGCTTGAACAGCATTGCGTAAACCAAAGCCACGTAAGCCGGGAACTCACCAGTCCCAGCATAGACCCTCCAGTAAAGTACTGGAGGGTCTATGGTCCCAGGCACCTACAATG